CCTTAATTGGGGAGGACGGGCTCGTGGTAATGGCTGGACAGAAATGATGGAATGAAATCAAATACATCAAACACATGGTTTCCATGTGTTTGATGCGCCGTTCCAGCCATTATTATGAGCATCCTCAGCAGCCTCCACTGGTGACAGTAGGTGTATATTTTGCATTTGTGAAATTATTTTTGATGTGATATGAAAGTAAAGGGCTTTTATGTTTCTAAAATCATATCGCAATTGAGAATAGATTCACGTTAGATGGAATACTTGACTGTTTACCTCTGAAAATAACATAAGGTCCTTGGACCTTAAGGAGTAACGGTAGGCTCCTTAAGAGTACATCTCGGGCTACTAGCTAGTTACCTAGCTGTACTTAAGGAGCTTGCTACTTGGTGGCTACGCTTACTACCCTGTTATTGACGATGACATAACAAACACAGCACGAACAATTTCATAGCTAAGAACACACTTGGTGAAGATAACTACAACTTCAACAGTAGTCCTGTTTTTTAAAAACATTATCGTTGTGCTACTAGTCGCTAACTTAGCTAGCCATTTAGCTAGCTAGCCAGCTAGAGTTGGCAACAAAAAAAATATATCTTACATTTGTAAACTAATATTGCACTCTTACCTTTTATAGTTTCCTTTTTTTTTTTCAGATGACAAAAACACGACACCCAGCAAACCGAGAATTTTGTAAAAATAACACCATGAACCGAAGCCCTTCTTTGCAGAAATGTCAGTCGAGTCAGGGCCAAAATTGAGACAGCCAGAGGTCTGTTGCTAAGAGGCAGGAGTCAGAAGTAAGGTTTTAGCATATCCCAAATACCATGCCCTGCTTTTCAATAGTCCAGAATTAGCTTTTAATGATTATGTGTAGATAAATGTTGAAAAAAGGCTAGGTTCAGGTTAGCTATTCTTTTGAAAATCAAGATTAAAGCGCTCCCACGTACAAGTGCCACTGCTCGATTTCTATCGAGCTTGTTGGGAATAGAAATATGGGAGAAATGGATTGCGCATGCGCCGCAACCGGAGCCTGGAAAAAAGGTGTCCCACCATGCAACACAATGTAAATGGTACGCAAGCAAGGTTTAGAGAAAGCGTCCGTGCTATCTGGGATCCTTGGGACGTCCATATGCCATTGAAGTTGAAATGTAGTTATTTAGCAGGAGACATGTTGAAACATTCTTGTATCTTCAAAATGATTATGGTGCATGCATGCCATAATGCAGGCATATTCTGATGATTGAATAAATTGTGATTATTTTGTGCTTATAGTACACCACTGCCAGACAGCTGTTCATAATGCATCCATTGAATGCATTTCATTTGAAAGATTTTCCCCACAACGTTCTATCATAATGTATGACCTTATTATAGCTTCTATAGGTAGTGTCAATTATAATGTGCGTACATCTTTAGTGTATCAGGCCCAGGATGTTCAATTCATGATCATGTATCCCAAGGTGTGACAAAGGGAATCTGAGATGCAATGGGCTTTGCTGCCATCTAGTGATCAGATGGAGCTCTCCAGCTCCCTAGGGTGCTGAAATCTACCAAACCACATTCATACTGTTCTTCAGCACTGCATCAGAAATTATTCTAGTTTGGTAGATGAGGGACTGCACGAATTATCATATTCTCACAATCTATCCTAAATCAGCAGCACAGTTGTGACATTCATTCACAGCCATATGCACATTAATGGGTTTACACAGGTGGTGGGTAAACATTGGATGAATGTTGCTGCCTCTTTTTCATTGCTCCCAGGATAGTGTCGTCTCGGAAATCCCAGACCTAGGTCTGGAACATTGTTAACATTGTGGGAGGCAACCCGTCTGCCTAGGAAGAGTAAGTGCACCTGTGTTTTCATACTCAGAACTGACCCCAACCCCAAAAACAGACGGTACACATTGTTCAGAGCAGTCACTATACTTTATTTTAGGGGGAGAAATAGCATACAATTTATTCTGTACAATATTTAACAATCACTTCCATCCAAGCCCTGAAACTGTTTGTTAAATACTTGCAAAACAAAGGAAAAGATGGCATGTTTATTTTGATAGTAGGATGGCCATTTATGCCTATGGTGAGAATATCGGCAGATAGCACAAACCTCAGTTAACAGTGACACCATTTCTATTGTGTGATGACAAAATAATATATGTCACCATAACATAGAAATTCCTAAAGAAAATAAAAACTCCATAGCTGGTCAAATCTCAGATCATATTCCCACAACATTGTTAATTATACAAGTCTATGGTTGCACCATACAACTCGCCTTCAACACTGATCAATGTTGTGGGAACGTTGAGTGACAGCTAGGATGTCTGTCTGAGGTAAAGTATGAGCCAATCCAGGGAGTCTTTACTAGCGTAAAGATATATAATAACAATACTTCTTCCTCTGAAAGAGAAGTTAGCATTGTCCGGGGTCTTGACATAAATTAATAAAACCATTTTTAAAATACAATTACATATAAAATAAACAACATTAAAATATTTTTTGGAATATTATTAACATTAGAAAGGATTATTTTTTGTTGTTGCCTTGAGACCATAAAAAACAACATCATGCTAAAATCACAATCTAAAACAACATTAATATGTACATACTGTGCATTTTCCATCCAGTCATCTGCTAATGTCATAGAGGGGTTTGGCTTTTAAGGGGGTATAATGTAGGCTAAATGTAATGTGTGCCTCCTTAGAAACATGATGGTGTCATAGTAACAAATAATGTAGTATTGTTTTACATAAAATAAACCTAGAAACCTTCTGAGGCCAGAGGGAGAGCATCTGTTTAGTGAGATAGAGCATTTGCACAGCAGCAGTGTTTTTTAAAAGTATGGAATATATGGAAACAAAAATATTGGATTTGACTTTCCTTCTTGGCATCAGTGCTACAGATAATACAGTAAGTATATATCAAACTGGCAGAAGTTGCAAATCTGTCTCCCCTGGTTTTGAAGATTGCTCTGTTGTTGGATCCCCATGCCTACACTCCTGAATCAAATAGTGGCTCAGGTTAGAGAGGAATAGCAAGAGTAGCATAGATGTCAGTGAGTGAGAGAATAAGAAACCCTCTGAGCTACAGGCTGTTAGTCCTACAGATGCCGTGACCACTTTAAATCCATAACTTACATATCATTGTACTATTGAGTTGGCATACAGTTATTGCCAGAGAGGATGTAGGGGTTTATAGTCAGAGAATAAACAAAAACAGCTGATGTCATTGATTAAAAAACAAACGCTACATTGAGAGTGAAAGTTGGTGCCATGGCAAGAAGCCACTGTCAGCTCCAACTTTGATTGCATACTGTTAACTGAGTAAAAGCGTAGTGTTATTATATCCCTGAATGTTATGTGGTAGGCTATAACAAAATATGTCTGATGGAGAGAAGCACATAATTGAGTCTCCAGTGTTTGAGTACAACAGGACTATTAATAGAACATTATCCGTCTAGAAACTGAAAGCTGCAATTGGCCATTTTAATCTTTTTATGTCTTGTCTAAGGAGCACATAGCCAAAGTGATGGACATGCTGTTAGTGATGGGGAATACAAGATTAAGGGGGAACACATATATTTGATCATGATGGCTACATTAGTAATGTATAACACCTGACATGATCTGAATAACCCCTCTATATGGACATCTACCTGAAAACCACACCAGCTGTAAAGACCTCATGTATGCACCCCTTGACTAAGTTGTCTCCAAAATAATGGCACGAGAATCAGTCAGCACCTAAAAGCAGAGAGGAGGGGTCATAGAGTAATGTGTGCTTCCTGAGACGTATTGAAATATGATGAGAATAGCAAACTAGAAACAGAAAATACTACAAACAGGGCAGGGAGAAAGAGCAATACCGTTACAGTGGATTGTAGACATTTCATTTAAAAATCAATAGGGGGTTTCGAACAACTGACACCAGTGTCACACACTTTTACATAGAAAAAAAAAGAAGGAAACAAACATGCGTTTTTAATATTCTGTGGACACCGCAAATCTAATAAGGGAAATGCTTTTAAAATATTTGTTTGTCTAATATATTCATATTTTCAGGGATTTTCTTCTCAACATGTTTAAACGGTCAAAAAATGTTGGTAAAACAACAATGCTCACAGTCACATTTGAATAGCTGGGGCAAAATATAAAATACACAAACAAAGAACTTAAGAAGGCAAAAACACTGGTTTGTGAATGGCCATTTTTGTTGGCATACTCCATAATTTGAAAAAGCTTCAGTACCAAACATGTCATCTGAATGTCGATGTCCTGTAGTGGTTTTAGTGTTACGAAGGAAAACATCATTATTTGTAGGATGTGAAACTGAGGTATACCTTGTTGAGAGACTCAAGAGGTTGATGGTTATTTCTATAGAAATGCTGTGAGGCAGGTCCGGATAAATAACCTTGATTACGCTGTTTTCTCTCTCTCTCTCTCTGTTGATATATGTACAGCAGCGATACACAGACATTCAGAAGCTGTTTCTTATTGGCATTACAATAGTCATTCATAGAAACACAAAGAGCAAATGTGTTTAAAACCCAAGTTGCCCTTTTTTATACTGAAATGAAATTAACTGTGTTTGTGTCAGGATTCTTCTTCTCTCCTGTTCCTCCTTTTCTTAGAGAAAAAACTGAAGTCAGTCCAAGAAGTACGTTTTCCTTTCTTTTACAAAAAATAGTAATATCAGCCAAAAGGTCAACTTAAAAATTACTTTGTCCATTGTCAAGGTGCGTCCAGTGAGGGATCTAGATGATTGATAGTTTGTTTTCCCATCACGCCCTCCCATTTTAAAATGACCCAGGCGTGAGGAAGTCTTTAGGCACACATGTAGCTAAACGCAATAGGAACCAGTTCAGACCTGGATGGTTCTCCATGAACCCAGGTCCACTGAGTGATTTTGCCGCCACCTTGTGTACAATCACAGCGACGGATGTGGAACGAGTCTCTGTGGGGTCTGTTCTCCTGTCCTGTGTTAACTCATACGCCTAGTCATAGGCTGGACTCTTTGGGGGGGTAGTCCACATTGGTCACCATGGTGACAACTGTGACAATCTCCTCGGGCGCGGTGACGTTGTTGAGGCGCTGCATCTGTACCACGCGCTCCTCCACACACCCCGCCGACAGACGCGCCTCCGCTTCGTGGTCCCAGCACTCCTCGATGGTCTCACACAGCATGGTCAGACCCTGGGAGGGACAGAGCACACACATTAGCACACGCGTGTTTACCCTCTGCGACACAAGGGCACAATGACACACAGCGAGCGAGGCCCGTGGGGCGGCATGGTGGACAGAGAGAGACCAGACGCCATTAGCTTAACTAATCTACTGTTACAGATCCACAGAAGAGGAAATAGCCAGGGTGAGGATGAAAACAGATCCGATAGGAGACACTGATAGTGCAGAAACTGTGAGAAGGAGGCCACTCAGCAGACATTTCAGAAATGGCCGCTATCTTCTAGACTGGGGGGAGAGAAATCGGGCCTCAAAGATGGTATCATTCTCCGATCAATAAGTGTCTGCGTTGGACTCGAGTTAGGATGCTCTGCAGACAGTAGGGATTCAGACAAACCATCTTAGCTAACCGTAGTCAAGACATAAACAGATGAGGTAAGAAGTGGCCTTGGCCATGGCAGGGAGAGACAGGCTTATACGGGGAAATTAACATGGAGCTATATTTAGCTATAAAAGCCCATTGTCATGTTAATGTAAAAAGCTGTTCAGTAGTTGTGCTATTCTTTCTGCTCAGCAGAGCTTCTCTGTACTCTATGTCCTCACTGTTCCATGACGATGGGTTTTGGTAGTTTGTGGTTTGGTAGTTTGTGGTAGTCACTGTACTGCCTCTTCAGTCACATTATAGTTTAAGATACATGGTGTATATGATCTACTCACTGCGTGTTTCTGCCAGCACTCCCTGAGCGTGGGCCTCAGCTTTTTGTGGACCACTACCTCCTGCATGTCCTCCAGGGACGGGTGCTGGCCAATCTCCTCCTCAAACGGCAGCATGTACTCATCCACTGGGCCTGAACATACACACAGCACAATGTTACACACAAATCTCAAAACCACAGTGACCCATTCACAAAACAAAATGCAATCAATATACCAATAGTTCCTTTGAGCTAATAAAGAAAATACATCAGTAGTCAAAACTCAATCAGTGCTCTCTGAGTTTCTCAGAAGGAATTCAGAGCTGATGCTTTGTGTGGTCTAATTAAGCAATAAGGCACGAGGGGGTGTGGTATATGGCCAATATACCATGGCTAAGGGCTGTTCTTATGCACAATGCAACGCGGAGTGCCTGTATACAGCCCTTAGCTGTGGTATATTGGCCCCCGAGATGCTTTATTGCTATTATAAACTGGTTACCAACGTAATTAGAGCTGGAAAAATACATGTTTTGTCATACCCGTAGTATACGGTCTGATATACCACGGCTGTCAGCCAATCAGCATTCAGGGCTCGAACCACCCAGTTTATAACAGCTCTTGACCAGTGGAGGTCTCTCTCTGAGCCGGTGAGTTCCTCTGACCAAGCTCTAACTCCGAGTTGACCTCCAGTGATAACCACAGAGGTCGTGCAGGGTGTTCCACATGCTGATCACCGACACATCAACACGGGCTAGGCCAGGCCAGGTCAATACTGCTCCATGGAACCAGACAGACATAATCCATAACAACAGACTGGTTCCCTGCTTAGACAGTGGTGGCCCTTGACCAGGACTATGGTAGTACTATGGCAGGAAAGGACAACCCTCCTGGAGAGCTACTGGGTATGCAGGCTTCTGCTCCAGCCCTACACTTGCACAGCTGATTCAGCTAATCAAGGTGCAGAGTAAAGTTAGAACTAAATCCTGTGGTAGGGTAGCTCTCCTGAGAGTAGGGTTGGAAGAGAATCGTGCTCTCCAGGAGAAAGATTGGTCACCCCTACTATATGGTGCTTCCAGGGACTGTGCTCTTACCGTCAGCAGCCTTGCAGCGTGCGGCCAGCTCCCACAGCACCAGCCCCAGAGCATACATGTCTATCCTCAGGAATGAGTCCCGCTGGAAGTTGATAGCCCCCTCCAGGACCTCAGGGGCCATGTACCTCCGGGTGCCCACCTGGAAATGATAGACAAACACACACACACTGATTTGTTTGATATCAATCTAAATCAACGGTCATGCTTGTTTTGGACAGTTTACAGTTCATTGTGGAATACAAAGTTCAACTATTGACAAGCATATTCTATGATGTAGAATGATCCAGTCATTTTGACATCATGGAGTCTATCAAACAGTCTCTCCACAACCTACATCCCATCGCTCACCTGTCCGTGCGTGTCCCCAGCTGATTTCCCAGCCTCAAACCTCAGGGCCAGGCCAAAGTCAGCAATGCAGGCCGTTAGGTTGGACTTCAGAAGGATATTCTTACTCTTGATGTCCCTGTGGATCACAGCAGATCAGAAACACACCAATGAGACAACACACCAATGAGAGGAAAGCTACCCATCATTTTCCATAAATAATGTTGTGTAATATCCGGAAGCAGAGATATTTTGTTTGTGGAGGAAGGAAGTGGATAGAATAAAACAGAATATAATCGATTTATTGGAAGACAAAAACATGGAGGATAGATGACCAGGGAAGGTAAGAGAGCAGGGAGCTGACCTGTGGGCGACGGCAGGCTTGTGTCCATCCTTCAGACCAGGAATGTCTTCATGGAGGTAGGCCAGGCCTCTGGACATGGTCTGGGCTATGTGACACAGCTCATTCCATGACAACACGTTGGCCTTCAGATAGTCTGTCAACGAGCCCTGGAAATGGAGGTATACAGCCAGTTAATATAACAGCACCTAGCAATGTGTCTCACCTTCAACATGCCACCACAGTCTGACATAATGCCAGCTGATTGTTCTACTTCTAACCACTAGAGGGCATGTTTATTCAACACAGATAAAGATCATTCTAGTATTCTCTGAAAATTAGAAAGAAACATCTTTATCTTCTTAATGTTTATTGGGATAATTGTTAAATTATAGCATGAGAACCTTGAATGAGCTAGGCTGAATGTAATTTGTGATTGTGCTGTGGTCCTTTGGCCAGCAGGGGGGGGGGGGCTGTACCTTCTCGTGGTAGGCTGTGATCAGCCACAGCTCTATGTCCATGTTGGTGCCCCTCTTCTCCGCTCCCAGGAAGTGGAGAAGGTTCTCATGCCTCATCCCGCTCAGGTTGTAGATTTCATACTCATTGTGCCATGACTGCTTGTCCTGATAATGACAAACAAGGCCACAAATTCACTATAAAGTCAGATGTATAACAACTAGTGAGTATTGGATTTCCCCCCACTATTAGATTGCAAAGTATTTGGTAGGGTAAACAAATTGTCAAAAGACACAAAAAAAAAACGTTCTTTAACCGGTTAAAACAGTATAATATACAGTCAGGTCCAAAGTTATTGGTACCCTTGATAAAGATCAGCAAAAAAGACTATGAAGAATTCATTTTTAACGGCGAGCGAGCGTTGCGACTTTTCCTTTTCAATTATGATTACATTTTTTGGTTGCACCTCGACTCAAGTTGGTTCAGTGCCCTCCACTTCTTTCCAAAAAAGACAGTATAAATAAATAATTCAAATAATGAGCTATATTGTATGCTGAATTATATCCTTTAATCCTAATACAATTGCTAAGAGAAAGAGATTTTGTTTAACAAGTAATAAAAAACAATCTAAAACAGATCGGGGTCAAAATTATTAGCACCCCTGTTTTCAATACTCCAGCAACCTCCCATTGCGAGGATAACGACACTGAGCCTTTTTCTAAAATGTTTTATGAGATTGGAGAACACATTGGGGTGATCTTAGACCAATCCTCTATACAGAATCTTTCCAGATCCTTGATATCCTTTGTCTGCACTTATGGACAACCCTCTTCAATTCAAACCACAGGTTTTCAATGGGGTTCAAGTCCGGAGACTGAGCTGGCCATTGCAAAAATGTTGGTTTTGTGGTCAATTAACTATTTCTTTGTGGATTTTGATGTGTGCTTAGAGTTATTGTCTTAGTGGAAGATCCACTTGCAGCCAAGTTTTCAGGTTTTTGGCTAAAATGTTCTGGTACTTGGTAAATTCATGATGCCGTCGACCTTAACAAGGGCCCCAGAACCAGTGGAAGTAGCCCCATAACATCAAAGATCCACCACTATAGTTTACAGTAGGTAGGAGGTTCTTTTCTGCATATGCATCTGTTTTCCGATGCCAAACCTACCACTGGTGTGCGTGGTCAAAGAGCTCTATTTTCAGGTCATCTGACAATAGTACCGCCTGGAGTTTGCTAAACGGCATTGGCACTTGGATTGGAAGCGGTGCTATGGATTACATGAAAATAGAGCTCTTTTGACCTGTCTTTTTTTTTTAAATATATTTTGTATTACTTGTTAAAACAAAATCTGTTTCTCTGAGCAATTGTATTAGTATAAAATAATATAATTTTCAACAACAAAAAATAGCATACAATACAGCTCAGTATTTGTATTCTTTATTTTATAGTCTTTTTTGCTCATCTTTATCAAGGGTGTCAATAATTATGGACTTGACTGTATGCATGTTCTGTCATTATGTCAGTTGGTGCTTAGTGGTCAATCGAGGCCACTGTGGGCTTAGTGATTGGCCTCTAAGCTAAAGGGCTGGTCAGCCCAGGAGGATTAGTTAGGGCCTGGAACTTTAAGACTGACGACGCTCTCCTCTCCTCTACCCTCACAAAGAATTAGGGAAAGCCTCCCCCCATAGCCCTGCATTCTGCTGCTGGTGGTTAGTTAGTGGCTAACAGTCCTGTACCTGAATTGGGAAGATTTTGACAGCCACGTAATCGTTGAGTAGCTGAGCCTTCCACACGCAGCCGAAGCGCCCCCTGGCTTTGATCTCAATCAACTGCAATGGCTTCTGACCCAGGATGGGGGAAGGAAGCAAGGGCCCTGGGTCCTGCAGTGGAGAGGAGAGAAAAAGACACATCAACCTCACTGTTTATTACACAGAGACCAAGCATCAAGTGCAACGCTTTGCATATCGGCATACTGCAGTGACTAAAGAAGTAGTATACAAAATGGCTGCAGTGTAGCAGGGTCAATGGTTGGGCCATAGCCTCAAGTCAAAGAAAAGGGAAACTTTTGAGCAGCTGCTGGGCTGGGCACTATGAAGCTTTGACAGAAGGGGCTTATGGGGGCTAGGGAAGTGGTGAGCTTGTTAAACTTAATCACCAACCTCTGTCTCCTCTCTGGACTACTGGATGAGGTCTGACCTACTTACTGTAGAGTAGCAGGGGACGGACTACACTGACTGACTGATTGACTACTGCAGCACGTAATTATTCAACAGGGATGCTCAGTCCTGGTCTGCTGGGAATCTAGTACCTGATTCACACTAAAGGGCCGGGCCGAACCGTACTGTGCTGGCTAGGATATTTTCTTTTCACATTGTTCTTTCCGGCTCGGTTTGGCTCAATAGTGTAAAAAGGATATACCAGTCCAGGTGCCTCAATAGTCCCTTTGAAAGATAACAGAGGTGGGTTGATTATTTAGTTTGAGGTAAAGTAATGGGACTACAGTTCCTGATCTGGAACTAGGAGTTTACATGGACTCGTCTGGGCCTTTCTTTGTGACTGGTCTGCACTGGAGCCATGTCTATATAGGCATATGGCTCTGGTCTGCGCTACCTATAGATCCTGTTTAATGGACATATCCATCATAGCTCCAGACAGTACTAAAGAGAGACACCTTTACCTTGATTCCATCAAGGAAGAGAACTTCAAAGGCAGGATTATAATTTTGATGACAGATTGATAAAGGGGTGTTCTAGTCGCAATACTGACTGAGCATGACCTTTATGTGTCTACAGAATCTGTTGTAGGTCTATAGACTATAGTATGTTGAACCTATGGGTTTATGTCCGGAGGTGTAGGTGGGGTGTTCATATGGCTGTGTGTGTGAATGATTCTGCCCAGAACCTATAGGCGTATAGTGACCTTTTCCATCAGATAAAAAACATTTGTCAGCAGAAGCGATGGTCTGTTTCCTGTGTAAACTAGCTGTGGGTTTCTGGGTCTCTTATCAAAGCAGAACATCTCTGCTGCCACTCAACTCACTCACAGACCTGGAGGACCACAATATCTATAGCCTGCAGGTCACATAATAATATTGTGTTCGTTATTGGTCCTCTAATGGTTGAGTTGAACAGCAGGGAAAGTAGTAGTGAACCTCTATATCTACACAGAATGGTTGTCTTTCCCCATGGGGTGTACACATAATGGCCTGCATGCACATTGCTACTGTATGTGTACAGCCACAGTGGGAAGGGAACAAAGAATATACTGATTAATGCCAGCAAAGGGTGGAACAGGAAGGAGGAGGGAAACCAAGTGAAAGAGGGAAACATATAGGACAGGATTTATAGCCTGGGCTAAAGCATGCAGCTCAGGCCTAACCCCAGCCACACCCTGCACCTCTAGCTGCGTTCACAGTGTTCAAGGTCATGTTTACATTTCTATTCTCTCAAGTGTCAATCATTGCACAGGCACTGCTAACTAAAAATGAAAACAATGCCATTTTTATGGTCCAGTTGTCCATGTAGGCTAGGACAGGGCGGAGAGGCCTAACATTTATCATCTTTGTGAGGCATTCTTTTGTCTTCAACAGGCGAATCAATACTGTTGTTTACAAGATATTGAGAATGGTTATCGTTGTACTGACTTAGATATAAAGCAAACCAGCAGGTGGTGGTTTGCTTCTGTTCAAAATGGTTATTTGGTTATTTTATATTTAAGTAGCCTATAACTGTATGTGTGTGTGTCTGTGTTTGTGTGTGTGTGTGTTCTTAGCCTCCATTCTCCCACCCCTCCCTTCCACCCCACATTGATATAAGCCACCATATCGATAATTTCACCATCACGTTCTTTGGCTGCATTCACAACATGCTCAGTTTCTTGCGTTCCAACCACGGAGGCATCGGTCCATGCACTTCGATTCTGCTGCAGAATCCCAAGCAGGACAGTGGATTTAACATATATCCGTGCACAATTAAACACCATTAAGGAGCATCACAAAAGTAAAATACAGTGCGTAGTTACAACTTAAATAGAAATGAATAGTGTATTTGAGGAGGTGGCAGGCTCAAGCTTGAAGGATATGATAAATCATATTCATAAGAGATGCAAAAACAAATCCAACCAATAAAACAGTCCTCAGTGAACAGATTGTACCCAATTGCTGAATGAGAGAGACTTCTCTTACCTCTATCATAATATGAAAGGCGTGCTAGTTAAGGAAAGAAAACATTTCCAGCATGAGAGACATGGAAGCATTGGAAGCACAGAGAGTGGCAAAAGAAATGACAACTGAGCTGATGACCTATGGACAGAGGATATAACACCACTCCTCTCCTTCTTATGACCTGACCTAGGATCAGGGGACACCATGGTTTGTCCTGGGAGTCAACCGTGCCATCAACTGACCTCAATTCAGTTCACTGGAAGCTGTGGAGGCGAACAATAAGAGTGGGACATTTTTACAAAGCAACATCTGGAATGAGTAACCAGTCAACCGTGAGTTCCGCTGCTCACCTGCAGCCAAGTTTTCAAGTCACGACAGCGTCTGAGAGTCCATTAGGCCGCCTGTCTGCCTCAGAAAGCTTTCTCTTTCTCGTTACTTTACACCCCGTTACAAAACCATCGTATTGAAGCGCCAGCCAATTCATTCCTACACCATTCACGCACAACTGGCTAAGGCAATAGGGGTGAAGTGAGTGAGTAACAGTACTCACGGGGTAAATCATACATAGTAATGGTGTGTGTCTCTATGGTACTATGTTTAGCATGTGTGTGAGGAAAGAGGCTACTGCTAACTCCAGGTTTTCAAGCCCACCTCTGTGTGCATATTACAGAGTGTTCAGCCCCAGGATGCTATAAAAATTACAAGTTGACGGTAAGCATTTCAGTGGCTGCCAACAATTCCCCCAGAATTTCGCAATGGCTGTTAGAGAGTGTGATTACGCTTCTGGTCCCTTCCCTCCCCTGACACACCGCCAAGCGAGCACACACTGTTCTCACAAGCACACGAGCATGCGCACGCAAATGTGCACAAACACACACACATCCCTGGCAGCGCTGCTGCAGCTAAATGCTACTGTAACATGTAAATTAATTTGAGTGAGTGTGCAAGTGATGCATGTGTATGTGTGTGCACACACGCAAGAGCCTGAACAACAAATAAAGCCCAGGAGAATGTCAGAGTCAAGACAAGAGTATAAATAAGAGTATGAAATACAATTCCAGGCAATGGTAACACCTGCGCCTGTGAAATAAAGCAGACCAAGGACTTAAAAGGACCCAGGTGGCAGTAAGCAGAATACGACAAGACAGGTGCACTCTGTCTTGATTTGTCTGTCTGTCACTTCAGTGAGACCTTGGTAGTGGAGGGAAAGCAAGTGTTGGAGGGACATTAAGTAGGGTTAAAAGCCCTTGCGCCCTCTCTCTCTTTCCCTGTCTCTGCTGAAGGACATGCTTACTCAGAGGGTGCCTTTAGAAGGTTGATGAATAATGAACAAGCACTCCTCTCCTCTCTTATCCCTCTCTCTCTTCTCCTTTTCTCTCGGATCACATTGCACTCTGGGAATGGAGGTCGAGAAGGGTGAGCCCTGGCCAAAGAGCAGACCAGAGGAGTGACCAATCTGTGTGTGTGTGTGTGTGTGTGTGTCTGTGTGTGGACGTGTTTAACTATACTTTTGGGGACCAGAAGTCCCCACAAGAATAGTAAACTAACAAAAATGTGATCAACTGGGGACATTTTGTTAGTCAAATGCTATTTCTAGAGGGTTTAGGGTTAAAGTAGAATTAGGTTTAGGAGTTATGGTTAGTTTTAGGGTTAAGAGTTAGGGTTAGGTTTAAGGTTAAGGTTAGGTTTTGGGGTTAAGGTTTGGATTAGGGTAAGGGATAGGGAAAATAGGATTTAGAATGGTTATAAATTGTGTGTCCCCGCAAGGTTAGTTAAACAAGACTGTGTGTGTGTGTGTGTGTGTGAGAGAGAGAGAGAGAGAGAGAGAGAGAGAGAGCATTCAGCTAGTCGCTAGTGCATGCTATGCAGAGATTTAATGTTAATCTTTACAGTGGATCTCCTTTGTTACTGCTGCTGTGCAATCGATATGATATATGGTAATGGCCAGCACGCATTGTGTAAATGCATACCTCAACTTGTTTGGGAAGAATGCATAGCATGAAAAGCACTTCATGTGCAGCAGTATATATTATATATAATGACTCCTGCTTGCTGTAATTGGTCCAGTAGATAACAGCAGAGAGAGAGAGCTGCAGCATGGGGGTGGGAAGCCAGCATAAACGAAAACATGGCTTGTTATTGATCAAACTCAGGCATGTCTCATTGACCTGTGTGCAGCAAGCCTTTTTATAGCCGTGAGGGAGGGGGAGGGGTAGAGATGAAGAGAGAGCGAGAGCAAGAGCGAGGGAGAAAGAGAGCGAGAGCATGCATTATTAATCCAACCCTCCCCCTCTCCTCTCGGAACGAGCGAACGCTTTCCTGTGCTCAGTGTTCTGTGCTGTGGTGCGGGTGATGATGAGTGGGCGAGGACCACACACACATACACACACACTTCAACCCCCCCCCCCCCCCATTATTATCAGATACTGTACTTGCATAGAACGGCCATACTGAGAAAGAACCACACATCATAGGGAGGCCTAACCAGCCTTTTTTCTATCAGAACTTTACTAACAGATACACTGTACACCCGTACCAAGACAGTCAGGATCTCATGTACAGTATGTCGATCTGTGTCTTCTGACTATTATAAGACCCATGAGGTGGACTGGACATTGGTTCTAAAAGCAGCACTGATGGTCTCATTGTGAAGAGAGGTCGAGAGCCCCTCTGCTCAGGAGTCTCAGAAAGGGTCGACATGACCGCTGAATTAAGGAAATGGGCATGACTGTAAAGGACAACTCTGCCACTTTATAACCAGTTATTATGCTGTTAGTATACTGTATATGCACTACTATTTTATGCACATTTTGATGTTTTATTGTTTTTGTTAGTAATACTGCACGATTCCTAGTTTTTGTAATTTTGAAGCGTCTGTATTGCCCTCGTCTACAGCATACTACGATTCCCAGGGTGCATTTCGTTGCCTATAAAGCAATGCTCCACTTAGTCAGCCACTTAGCTAGCTGGCTATCAAACCCTGAAGAAAGCTTAGTCAAAATATATTGCTTATATCATAAGCTATGTGCATTTCACATTACTTTTGGGTTGAAAATATATTATGCTTCCATAAATGTCATGCTGAATATATGCTCATGTCATTGTCACCAAAAAACTGCAATACACGAATAAATAATTTGAATGTAGATTCTGAGTAGCTAGCTCTGCTAACCCTAACACTGAGTTAATGCAACTAGTTAGCATGCTAGCTAGCCCGACTGCTGCATCCGAAATAATTGTTTCATCTTAGCGGCTGTCTTAAACAACATTTAGACCTGTTAAAAAAACACATAATTTTTTATGGATTTTACAGGCAAATCATTACAGAATCCTAGTATCTCTCAGTCTGTCTCTTTGGTGCTAACGCTAGCAATGCTAGCTAGCTAAGTAGCTAAACCTGCTGCATCTGAAATAAAGTGTTTTCTACGATAACAGACAAATACAGCCTCAGCGACCAAGCAACCATCCAACAACACTGGAGGCCTCTTGGAACTAATAAAATGTATGATGTTTACAAGTAATTCAATTTGAAAATATAGGCTATTTGGAAAGGGCACAATGGCTGCTGGAGCTGCAACTTCGGTCGATGATGGTGGGAGTGGTTTTGTCGAATGGAATCATGGGAGTTTGAGTCTTGAACAACAGACAAATATTGGAATAGGCTGACTATAAATACACTACATGACCAAAAGTATGTGGACACCTGCTCGTCGAACATCTCATTCCAAAATCATGGGCATTAATATGGAGTTGGTCCCCCCTTTGCTGCTATAACAGCCTTCACTCTTCTGGAAAGGCTTTCCACTAGATGTTGGAACATTGCGGCGAGGACTTGCTTCCATTCAGTCACAAGAGCATTAGTGAGGTCGGGCACTGATGTTGGGCGATTAGGCCTGGCTCGCAGTCGGCGTTCCAATTCATCCCAAAGGTGTTCGATGGGGTTGAGGTCGGGGCTCTGTGCAGGCCAGTCAAGTTCTTCCACACCGATCTCGACAAACCATTTCTGCATGGACCTTGCATTGTGCACGGGGGTATTGTCATGCTGAAACAGGAAAGGGCCTTCCCCAAACTGTTACCACAAAGTTGTAAGCACAGAATTGTCTAGAATGTCATTGTATGCTGTAGCGTTAAGATTTCCCGTCACTGGAACTAAAGGGCCTAGCCAGAACCATGAAAAACAGCCCCAGACCATTATTCCTCATCCACCAAACTTTACAGTTGGCACTATGCATTGGGGCAGGTAGCGTTCTCCTGGCATCCGCCAAACCCAGATTTGTCCGTCGGACTGCCAGATGGTGAAGCATGATTCATCACCCCAGAGAGCGCGTTTCCATTGCTCCAGAGTCCAATGGCGGCGAGCTTTACACCACTCCAGCCGACGCTTGGCATTACGCATGGCGATCTTAGGCTTGTGTGCGGCTGTTCGGCCATGAAAACCCATTTCATGAAGCTCCCGACAAACATTTATTGTGCTGACGTTGCTTCCAGAGGCAGTTTGGAACTCGGTAGTGAGTGTTGCAACTGAGGACACAGGATTTTTACGCGCTTCAGCACTCGACGGTCCCGTTCTGTCAGCTTGTGTGGCCTACCACTTCGCGGCTGAGCCGTTGTTGCTCCTAGACGTTTCCACTTCACAATAACAACTCTTATAGTTGACCAGGGCAGCTCTAGCAGGGCAGAAATGTGACAAACTGACTTGTTGGAAAGGTGGCATCCTATGACGGTGCCACGTTGAAAGTCACTGAGTTCTTCAGTAAGGCCATTCTACTGCCAATGTTTGTCTATGGAGATTACATGGCTGTGTGCTCGATTTTATACACCTGTCAGCAATGGGTGTGGCTGAAATAGCCGAATCCACTCATTTGAAGGGGTGTCCACATAGTTTTGTATATATAGTGTATCATTCTATAGGTTTTTGAGCGTCAATTTAAAAATATTTACAAATGTTGTTAGACAGACAACCAGAGCAACATATAGCAGGGAGTTCCAGTATGATCAGAAAACGACAGACGGGTTACATAGATCACTGAAAATGACTGTGCATAATTTCTTGTATTAGTCATCTCCTACCAGAGGCAGTTTGGAACTCGGTAGTGTTCAAAAACGTAACAGAGAAGCGATTTCCGGTTTTGCTAATCACTAAACAGTCATGAAAACATAAAATTAAACAAAAACTGTGCAGGACATCACTAAATACTTCAGCTCAGCTGGTAGAGCACGGCGCTTGTAACGCCAAGGTAGTGGGTTCGATCCCCGGGACCACCCATACACAAACATGTATGCACGCATGACTGTAAGTCGCTTTGGATAAAAGCGTCTGCTAAATGGCTTATTATTATTATTATTATTATTATATAATAACAACCCAATTGTTAAAAGTGGCGGAGTTGTCCTTTAACTTGAGCCTGTTGCAGCTGTGGCTCACCTTCAGACAAATCTGAAAGGACACATCGAACACAGCCAGCCACAACACTGGGTAAATAAAGATGAGAGCAGAACATAAAAAAACAGCATGGTTTCTCACATCCACTTCACAGCTCCCACTAACTCCAACATGAGCAGAATACAGTGGCCTACTTGAATGGCTTCACTGGCTTGATGCCAAAGAACTGACCATATGTGAAAGGTGTCCATACTTTGATGCATCCCTATCACACCCAAGAGGGTAGAGGTGGGATGGTATGGTACTATACTGTAAAGAAAGAGCAAAATCTTATTTTCTGGAATCATTGTGTTCACTGATTTTAGATGCTAGTTGAGGCAATGGAAGACGTTATAATAGACTTATGTTCTTAGAATTCACTTCTCTGAGTGCGTTATGTACTAACATTTCTGCCAAACTGCCAAGTATCTGGGGCCTTAGCTTTGGCACAGCCAGGCTTTCATGGAGATTTCACATGCACTTTGAGCATTCATTTATGCGTGTGTGTGTGTGTCAATGGCAGATAGGCTCAGTAAATGCTCTGTCCCATCACATCAAAGCAAGGGAATGAGGGGGGCTACATTTCCTGAAGAGGCGTAATTTCTCCAAAAAAGGGACGGAGGAAAGAAAAGAAAATGTGAGCGCAGTCTCCTCTACAGCTGCTGACTACAGACTCTCAGGCTACTAACAGCACAAGCTCAAGTACAGTAAGCAATACAACTCATAGCAACTGATCTGTGTCATACAGGTGATTAAAAGTCATAGTACTGCTCTCACCGACATTAGTCATGATGGAGGAAAAGTTGATCAACAAAGCGGGTCACAGTCAGGTGTTGCATCTACAGTGGCATATCTGTGAACACTTGGAATACCTTGCTTCCACCATCCAGCCAACACAGATCAAATGCTAGCTACAGGTGAACTCCAATGAGAACAACCATCATTGATATACAGTAGCTAGTCTATTACATGGTCATTGCATAGCTAGCTACATCTGTTTTTGCAACTAAAGAGGGTTTTGTACATGTGTTATCTTACCTGTGTGGGCACCAGGACTGGCGGGTATGCCAATTTGTGATGGCGGTACATCCAGAAGGAGAAGAGGATGATAGCAGTGATGCCTATGATGGGCACCAACGAGTACATCAGGGTGGTGAAGACAGGAGGCTTCGGGGTAACCGGGTTTGATGTTGCTATGGAGGGAAGGGGACAGAGAGGGAGGGAGAGGGAAAGAGAGCGAGAGAAAGACAGAGAGAGTAAAATTAGATCAATCTAGATTATGCCTGGACAAAAGGATTATTGTAGGATGTACTCAAAATCAAGGAGTGCTGAAAGAGGATTTTGTTAATAACTTTGCCAAGAATGTGAAAAACTAAATGGGTTACGTGTTGCGGTCACTGTGTTCATAATGTAGGGCTGATATGGGCTCAACTCTAGCTGGCTGATGTCATTTTTATAAAATGCATTTCTAGCTGGGTCTCTCTGGGGCTGGGAATCAGCCAAATCTATCCGGCTTAGTGTCACTGAGAGTGACGGTTAAATCAAGAGGATATCTCACTCTCAGTCACACATACACGCGCGCACGAAAACACACACACACACACTAGAGCTGGGATGATAAACCGACCGCATTTATCGTGGACATAGTGCTGATATTGTTCATTATGATAAATAACCTATAGGGCCCTACTAGAGAAATGCGAAGTTTGAAATGAAATACGTTTGCTAATATGGGTGCATGTTAATGGGACAATTGATAGCTACAGCATTCAAAGTAATAGTAGTAATTTTAAGGGTAATATAAAAAAATAACTGTGTTGTACATCAATGTTATAAACGTATCGTTTGATTTATCGTCATCATGATAATTCAGTCAATTTATCGTGACATGGATTTTGTCCAAATCACCCAGCTCTAACACACACACACACACACAGTTTTGTATTGCTATCCTTGTGGGGACCAAATAATTGATTCCCAGCCAAAATTATATTTTCCCTAACCCTAAATCTAACCCTAACCTTAACCTAACCATAACCCTAAACCTAACCGTAACCCCTAACCCTAATTGTAACCCTAACCCTAAACCTAACCCGTAAGCCTAAAATAGCATTTTTCCACATGGGGACTGGCAAAATGTCCCCGCTTGTCCGAATTTTCCTTGTTTTACTATCCTTGTGAGGACTTCTGGTACCCACAAGGATAGTTAAACTAACACACACACACGAAACCTGGACACAGTACTCTGAAATCAGACGATTTGATCCCTAATGATTCAGTAAAAACTAGCTTTAATCTAGTAGCCCCTGTTAACTGTGGAGCCACAGGCTTGGTGATTGAGTGAGTTAGTGTATCTGTCTAAAGCCTGTTTGGTTCGCAGGCGCCCATCCTGGCACAGTCCCTTTACAGGGCTTCATGAAAGAGAGATAAGATGTGATTGTGCCTCGTTGCCAAAGCAGCAGCTCCAGTGTAATAATCTCAACACGCACTCGTTTCACCATTATGGTGGATACCCCGTCCCTCGCCTGCCAGCGTGACATCCAGTGTGTGTGTGCCGTTACTGCTCTATAATAATAATAATAATAATAATAATAATATGCCATTTAGCAGACGCTTTTATCCAAAGCGACTTACAGTCATGTGTGCATACATTTTTACGTATGGGTGGTCCCGGGGATCGAACCCACTATTCTGGCGTTACAAGCGCCATGCTCTATCAATTGAGCTACAGAGGACCTTTGTGGGTGACCTCAGCTGAACTGGCATTAGGTAGCAACATTGTGTGGTTAAAGAGGGGGCACTGTTTGTGATGATGCTGCTGCCTGCCTGCCACAACCCCCCTTGCCGTGCCCCTCCCCCCTCTATACCCATCGCTCCCCTCCCCCTCTCCCAGCTCTCTGCCCAGTGCTCCATTTTAGCTGCAAGTGGGATAAGAACCCGGATTAGCCTCTTTGAGCTGAAAAATACATCAGTCCCAAACCCCCCCTCTCTCCAACATGCCTCTTCTTGCCTGCTGCGTGCTCCCTGCTCTCCACACCCCCGCCCCCAGGGCATTAGGATCACCACACTGTACACGCCACTCAGGCATGGAGCCGCTCTGGTCAGCAGGTCAAGCTCTCTCCCTTTCTCTCCCTCTCTCTATCCACTCCTGCATGGTTGATCCCCAGATAGGCCCTGTTGCTAGGTTAAAAAAAGCAGCTGTGAGCATGTGTGTGTGTGTGCCGCCTTTGTCGCTCGATACGATAGTAAGGCTCCGACCGAGCTTTTCATTCCAAATATCCAGGGCATTCCACATCTAGTTAGTCACTGCTGCAAATACATACATGTTTAGTTGCATAAGCAGAGGGAGAAAGTCATGCCCGCTGTGCTGTATTAGAGCCCATCTCCCCACCCAAAGCTTTAATTTATTTAGGTACCCCGTTCACGATAATGGACTGCTCCTACAGACAGTGAGTCACGTGGCCGTGGCTTGCTATAGTGAGGGAAAAAAGTATTTGATCCCCTGCTGATTTTGTACGTTTGCCCACTGACAAAGACATGATCAGTCTATAATTTTAATGGTAGGTTTATTTGAACAGTGAGAGACAGAATAACAACAAAAAAATCCAGAAAAACGCATGTCAAAAATGTTATAAATTGATTTGCATTTTAATGAGGGAAATAAGTATTTGACCCCTCTGCAAAACATGACTCAGTACTTGGTGGCAAAACCCTTGTTGGCAATCACAGAGGTCAGACGTTTCTTGTAGTTGGCCACCAGGTTTGCACACATCTCAGGAGGGATTTTGTCCCACTCCTCTTTGCAGATCTTCTCCAAGTCATTAAGGTTTCGAGGCTGACGTTTGGGCAACTCAAACCTTCAGCTCCCTCCACAGATTTTCTATGATATTAAAGGTCTGGAGAATGGCTAGACCACTCCAGGACCTTAATGTGCTTCTTCTTGAGCAATTCCTTTGTTGCCTTGGCCGTGTGTTTTGGGTCATTGTCATGCTGGAATACCCATCCACGACCCATTTTCAATGCCCTGGCTGAGGGAAGGAGGTTCTCACCCAAGATTTGACGGTACATGGCCCCGTCCATCGTCCCTTTGATGCAGTGAAGTTGTCCTGTCCCCTTAGCAAATAAACACCACCAAAGCATAATGTTTCCACCTCCATGTTTGACGGTGGGGATGGTGTTCTTGGGGTCATAGGCAGCATTCCTCCTCCTCCAAACACGGTGAGTTGCGTTGATGCCAAAGAGCTCGATTTTGGTCTCATCTGACCACAACACTTTCACCCAGTTCTCCTCTGAATCATTCAGATGTTCATTGGCAAACTTCAGACGGGCCTATATATGTGCTTTCTTGAGCAGGGGGACCTTGCGGGTGCTGCAGGATTTCAGTCCTTCACGGCGTAGTGTGTTACCAATTGTTTTCTTGGTGACTATGGTCCCAGCTGCCTTGAGATAATTGACAAGATCCTCCCGTGTAGTTCTGGGCTGATTCCTCACCGTTCTCATGATCACGAGGGGAGATCTTGCATGGAGCCCCAGGACGACGGAGATTGACAGTTCTTTTGTGTTTCTTCCATTTGCAAATAATCGCACCAACTGTTGTCACCTTCTCACCAAGCTGCTTGGCGATGGTCTTGTAGCCCATTCCAGCCTTGTGTAGGTCTACAATCTTGTCCCTGACATCCTTGGAGAGCTCTTTGGTCTTGGCCATGGTGGAGAGTTTAGAATCTGATTGATTGATTGCTTCTGTGGACAGGTGTCTTTTATACAGGTAACAAGCTAAGATTAGGAGCACTCCCTTTAAGAGTGTGCTCATAATCTCAGCTCGTTACCTGTATAAAAGACACCTGGGAGCCAGAAATCTTTCTGATTGAGAGGGGGTCAAATACTTATTTCCCTCATTAAAATGCAAATCAATTTATAACATTTTTGACATGCGTTTTTCTGGATTTTTTTGTTGTTATTCTGTCTCTCACTGTTCAAATAAACCTACCATTAAAATTATAGACGGATCATTTCTTTGTCAGTGGGCAAACGTACAAAATCAGCAGGGGATCAAATACTTTTTTCCCTCACTGTATATAAAGCGGGCAGACAGGCATCGAGGCATTCAGTTACTGTTCAATTGAACGTTAGAATGGGCAAAACGAGTGACCTAAGCGACTCTGAGCGTGGTATGATTGTCGGTGCCAGGCGCGCCGGATCCAGAATACTGGATCGGCGCACCTGCCAGGTGGCCCCCCTCCTGGGCTTTTCACGCACGACAGTGACTAGGGTTTACAGAGAATGGTGCGACAAACAAAAAACCTCCAGTCCGCGGCAGTCCTGTAGGCGAAAACAGCTCGTTAATGAGAGAGGTCGAAGAAGATTGGCAAGAATCGTGCAAGCTAAGAGGCGGGCCACAAACAGGCAATTAACGGCGAAGTACAACAGTGGTGTGCAGAACGGCATCTCAGAACGCACAACTCCTCGATCCTTGTCACAGATGGGCTATTGCAGCAGACAACCACACCATTTCCACTCCTGTCAGCTAAAAACAAGAAGAAGCGGCTCCAGTGGACGGGTGATCACCAACACTGGACAATTGAGGAGTGGAAAAATATTGCCTGGTCCGACAAATCCTGGTTCCTGTTTCGTCATGCTGATGGCAGAGTCAGGATTTGGCGTAAGCAGCATGAGTCCATGGCCCCATCCTGCCTGGTATCAACAATACAGGCTGGTGATGGTGGTGTAATGGTGTGGGGAATGTTTTCCTGGCACACGTTAGGTCCCTTGATACCAATTGAGCAACGATTGAATGCCATGCCCCAAAGAATTTAGGCTGTTCTTGAGGCTGACCCGGTACTAGATGGGTGTACCTAATAAACTGACCAGTGAGTGTATCTATTGTATAACCTCTATCTGACTCCAATGCAAGAACACACAAATGTTTTCCCCGTGAATTAATGACTATTCTGAAAAGGGCATTTCTGTTCATTGTTGAGCAACAATAGTGCAACAGGAAAAGGAGTTACCCAACCACAACATTAAGGCATTTCTGATCACTGATTAGATTTCTCTTTTCTTTATACTTAACTGATGATGTGCTAAAAAAATGTTAGTTTTTTTAACAATTACGGAATTTCTTTGCCAGAACCAAGAAATTCCAGAACCAAGGAACATTAAGAGATTTCTGATTAGATATTCTGCATTCTTTGAGGATGTGCTCAGATTATTATATATTTATTTTTTTATCAACAATTACGGGAAGAATGTAGATTGAGTTCCAGGACCAAGGAAGGATTGTTGCTTGGAAGAGCGAGCAGCGCCAGGGGAGGAAGCTGACGTCAGTGTGCCCAGACCCAGCTAGCTACACCTCCTCTGACTGAGTCACTGCATTCCTCCTCCTGCTAAGAGGATGTTTAGCAGTGAGGCCCGTTAGCTCAAAGGGGATAAGGAGGACAGATCATCCCCTTTAATCTGAAAGACACAGCAATCCCTGATGCATGACACACATGAAGCCACACAGGACACTGTCCGACACGCCATGGCACATGCCTGAGCTCACTGCACACTCACTGGAACTGGGCACACCACACCACGCCGCACACTTCCCGGAATATGGAGCAGATTTGACGAAGCAGAGCGGTTACGCAGAGTGTCAGCATTATGTAACGTGAGAGAATAAAAGATGACTAACTAACAGATTGGGCTATTAACAAAAGTCAAAAGGTCACGCTTAGGACAAAGGCACGGATTTCAGATTTGAGCACAACAGATTTTTCAGTTGATATGGTGTTACATACAGGAACACAAGCATGCTCGCACACACAACTTACTCTGAACAGCTTGTGTGTTGTCGGGGGTGTAGAATAACTTTTGGTTGCACATGTTTCCTTCACAGCAACAGAAGAACACATCCGGACTTTCCTTCGTCTCCACACATTCAGTTCTGGAAAAGAGAGAGACAATGTTGTCACAACAACGTAGCAAAATCTTGGTCCCTTCGGGCCCCGATAGCTTAGCAAACCTTCCCTTTTCTAAACTTTTGTAACTTATTTTGTTTCTTTGGGTTGCAATTGTATATCTAAGGAAAATGTGGTATTTCAGAATTTTGGAAACTGTCCTTGAGCTTTAGACTGGAGCTCTACAGGAATAGTAATATAATGGATGTAAAAATATGATGCTGTAGTTCATGTTGTTGTAGGTACAGTAGGCTACTTCCTGTAAACAAGTATTTTTTGTTACACCTCGTAAGTTTGGAACAAAAAAGGAAGGAAATAAATAATGAATTCTATATTTAACTGACAAACTTACATTCCATGGCAGCTAAACCATATCAAAGCTACACTCCATTCTTTGAACATCCCTGAATAGATAAACAAGCTTATTAGCCCAAGAAGAAACAAAATGAGCAGTATTCACTCCAAACTATGTTTACACATTTTTTATTGCACAATCTTTTGGCTGTTGTTTACATCTAGAGTACACACACATTGGTAAGTTGCCGCACGGTCGGAGCTACCGGTTGCTCTACATTGAGTAATCACATGGCAGCATGCCACACTTCAAAAACACATCGATGGTTACTGCAGGTGGAAGGTAAACGGGTTCAACGGCATGCTAAGACAAGAGCCGCCTGGTAAATCAGCCTTTCTGGGCCTGGGATCTCGCACGCTATGACAGAGAATGTTTCTGGCAACGCTAGCTGACATGCTGGATGGATAGCTGGGCAGATAACATTACAATTTGGTGGAATGGAGGGGGAGGCTAAAGTGTTCCACTTAACATCAGGTGATATATGGATATATAACCCTAAGTGAGGAAATGTTTTATCCATCTCTATCTGTCTGTTCTGGCTCACAGGGCACATTTGCAATATGCAAACATCTAGGCCTAGCTTGTCTAAAAAACCATTGCAGGTGTTAAATTACTTGAGAAGAAGCTCAATTGTTTATCGCAGTGGTGTAGCTGTTTGAACAAGTTGAGACTGCTGATGCTGACATTTGGCAAGGAACCACATTCATGATGATTTTTCTTGCTCCCCAATCGACACCTTTCACATCATATTCATGGGCCGACCAAGTCCTCACACAGAATGGAGATACTACTACTGATATACTGATAACATTTGTGATCCATTGCAACACACCAATGATACACTTAGTTATTCCACCGTGTGTCATTGGTGTGTTGTAACAGATCACACATGTTATCCAACCCACCCCCACAGAGCCCTGATGCAATTGGCCCTACCTGTCATAGCAGTTGGTATCATCCAGCCAGCAGCCCTGCTTGACGATATCTACGATTCCCGACACATTCCTCCAGGTGGCAAAGCAGTGTCTCCGCTTGTCCTTCTCCCCGGCACACGTCTCGATGCCACTGCGGTTCCCCCGGTTCTCTTGGATGGCAGCAGGGTTGGGGTTGTAGTTGTAGTGGATACACTCCTGCGTCTCTGACCGGCCCAGGATAGCCCCTGAGGACAGAAATGGAGACACTAGATCAAAAGACTTTGAGGTGAATATCGAACAGCATTCCTGTTGAACGGTGAATGTGTTGATGTAATAAATCATTTTGGAGAATCGGTTTAATGCCGTTCAAACACCAAACCACAGACATGAATAAGCACATAAAAGAAGCCTACTGTGTCCTGCACATCAACATAGTTAATTTTGGGACAGCCCTGTCTACAGTGTAGCATCATATGTCCTATTAATCTACTACTAATCTATTGGTCTCATGAAGCAATGCACGGATGATGTAACTCTCTGCTCACTGCAGGACAATTACAGGACAGAGGCATTAAAGGCCACTGCAGGGCTGCAGTGATCACTAACAGAGCCATCTCTCATCAGCCAGCCTCCCTCCACAGTGGGAAGCCTTACCACAGCCCTGTAATTAACCAGTGGTGACGACTCAAGTGCCTCTAGAGACTGACACACACACACAGTCTTCAAATGCTGTGTGGGAAATCTCTGGCCCTGGCTGGTCGTGATATGATTTGTTAATGACTATGTTTGATTGGTCAAGGAGGGTAATGGGATAGAATTCCCATTCAGAGAGAAGAGTTGTTTTCAACAGAATCAGCAGGGGTGAAATAAGTTGAATGTCGTTTACTGTACTGAATCACAGCACATGACAATCATTTAGCCCACTGCTCCCCCACCCCATCCATTTTGATAAGTAGCCTAGGCATGAATTCTTCTAGTCTGCAGTTAGTAAAATACAGCCCATATTGAAAGTATGCTCCGAGCTGTACAAAGCACACTACACACAAGTCAATCAAACAATTGCCAATAATCTACTGTCACGCATAGTCGACCATAGAAAGGTCAGGCTATCCTCATTCATTGAGCCATAGACATGACAATGAACTCAAAATATAAACATGAACCTGTGAGGCGCCAGGCACCACAGGTCGATTCATCCCTGGGTAAGACTTAAGCAGTAGGCCCTAAGGAATTGATTCACTATATAATCTCAAACACCAAAAAGGCAAAACAAAAATAATGTATCTTTTAAGTATAATCCTTGAGACTTAATCTTATCTAAACAACAGGAAAAATGATTTTGAATTTAATGTGCAAAACATAGCCTGAGGGTGCCATATGGTTTAAGAAAGCACAACAATATGAGCTTGTTTTATGGTTAACCCTGACAAAACCTCAAGTGGTAACAGTGACCGAAAAGAAAAAGGATATGGTGGGTGTGGTTTGACAATGGTGACACTTCTGCTTGCTAAGGCAGGGAACAGAGGCTCTGACACACACCAATGAGCATGCAAAGGTATTTATCTCTCTCATCTCTCTACGTGTGCCAAATATAGGAGAACTAAAAGTTTAGAAAGCTTTCTATAAATAGGCTTGTCGGCTTGATTCAGCTCAGATAGGATAAAATGCTACTGTTTAGCCTACGTAATCTATTGTAAAGTCTATTCTTAACTCATTTTGTCTTTGGGGGTAAAAAGACCCACACATCCTTAATTAAAAACAAGAAATGCATAATTTAAAAAGTACAAGGAGGTATTTTGAGATAGTGGGAGAGACAGAGAGAGAGAGAGAAAGAAAGAAAGACACAGAGAGAGAGAGAGAGAGAGAGAGAGAGAGAGAGAGAGAGAGAGAGAGAGAGAGAGAGAGAGAGAGAGAGAGAGAGAGAGAGAGAACCAAAAGTCACCTGCCTCAGGTTAGTAGAGCCAGGGGCCCCCTGAGAGGGGCCTCTCTTAGTCTTTTAATTCCGCTCATATCTACCAGGGCCAGGAAGCAGGGACCTACAGTGCCGTTTGTTCTGACAATCAATAATGAGGGACAACACAGAGTGCCAGCTAAACATGGAATGCTCTGAGCCCAGGGGCCAGAGATCTGGAAACTGGTCACGCAGGTTGAGTGAAGAGAGACTGTTGGCGCCAAGGAAGAAACAAGCCCGGGGGAGGAGTTGGAGCGCCACGATTGCTTGTGCTGAACAAGCTGGACTGGGCATACAGTACAGACACCATTTACTGTAGGCTACCTCTCAGAGGGGTCACAGTTTGACCATGTGTTTACAGTCTGTTCACTAATGTTCCTGACAATGGGACATCTTAGACAGTTATTCCCAAACATTTCTTCACATAAAGAAATTTGCCTAAACCAATGATGAGAATAACATCCTCACAGAGATCAGTGCTGCTATGGGGAAGAAGATAGCATCTGACTTAGGAATGGGCACGGTTAATCGAATATTCGGATATCCGAACGGACGTTAGTATTCGAACACTTGTGAGAGTATTCATTTTATTTGGGGGGTGGGGGCTGATTTTAACAATGAAAAAGCTTTGTCTAAATTCAATTATCCATGAGACATTGTTACACACAAGGCTATACCATGACATTTGACATGCTTAAAGTAAAATTGGCAGAGCAGTCAAAAATGTGATTTCCCTGTATTTTATATATATTTCCACACTATGAGGTTGGAATAATACTGTGAAATTGTGAAAGTTGTGATAATGTACTTTTGAAAACACCGGCTGAAATTTCTGCTTGTTTGGCTGGATGGGATTTTTGGACCACCTGGTGATATCACTAGAAGTTATAAGTTGATAGACCAATAACAAATAGAGTTTTCCCTCCTCTCTGCCAATAACAGCTAGTTTTCAGGTTACACATCCCTCCCATTAGGCCTCTGTCTCAGACCACTCCTAGACAGTCCTAGCTAAATTATTTTCCATTTTAATTGAAATCAATTGAAATCAATTACAGTAAGGTACTTTCTGCGTAACAATTTGATATTGAGATAAACATGGCTGCATTGGACCTTTCCTAAAACAACAAACTTGTATTTGAATGTAGGGTTTTGAATGTAGTGTTTAGCTATGTACAGTCGTGGTCAAAAGTTTTGAGAATGACACAAGTATTGGTCTTCACAAAGTTTGCTGCTTCAGTGTTTTTAGATATTTTTGTCAGATGTTACTATGGTATACTGAAGTATAATTACAAGCATTCCATAAGTGTCAAAGGCTTTTATTGACAATTACATTAAGTTTATGCAAAGAGTCAATATTTGCAGTGTTGACCCTTCTTTTTCAAGACCTCTGCAATCCACCCTGGCATGCTGTCAATTAACTTCTGGGCACATCTGGACTGATGGCAGCCCATTCTTGCATAATCAATGCCTGGAGTTTGTCAGAATTTGTGGGTTTTTGTTTGTCCACCCGCCTCTTCAGGATTGACCACAAGTTCTCAAATGGGATTAAGGTTTCCTGGCCATGGACCCAAAATGTGGGATGTTTTGTTCCCCGAGCCACTTAGTTATCACTTTTGCCTTATGGCAAGGTGCTCCATCATGCTGGAAAAGGCATTGTTCGTCACCAAACTGTTCTTGGATGGTTGGGAGAAGTTGCTCTCGGAGGATGTGTTGATACCATTATTTATTCATGGCTGTGTTCTTAGGCAAAATTGTGAGTGACCCCACTCCCTTGGCTGAGAAGCAACCCCACACATGAATAGTCCCGTGTAGCTCAGTTGGTAGATCATGGCATTTGCAAAGCCAGGGTTGTGGGTTCCATTCCCACTGGGGGCCAGTATGAAAATGTATGCACTCACTATCTGTAAGTCGCTCTGGATAAGAGCATCTGCTAAATTACTAAAATGTAAATGTCTCAGGATGCTTTACTGTTGGCATGACACAGGACTGATGGTAGCGCTCACCTTATCTTCTCCAGACAAGCTTTTTCCGGATGCCCCAAACAATCGGAAAGGGGATTCATCAGAGAAAATGACTTTACCCCAGTCCTCCGCAGTCCAATCCCTGTACCTTTTGCAGAATATCCGTCTGTCCCTGATGTTTTTCCTGGAGAGAAGTGGCTTCCTCACTGCCCTTCTTGACACCAGGCCATCCTCCAAAAGTCTTCGCCTCACTGTGCGTGCAGATGCACTCACTCCTGCCTGCTGCCATTCCTGAGCAAGCTCTGCACTGGTGGTGCCCCGATCCCGCAACTGAATCAACTTTAGGAGACGGTCCTGGCGCTTGCTGGACTTTCTTGGGCGCCCTGAAGCCTTCTTCACAACAATTGAACCTCTCTCCTTGAAGTTCTTGATGATCCGATAAATGGTTGATTTAGGTGCAATCTTACTAGCAACAATATCCTTGCCTGTGAAGCCCTTTTTGTGCAAAGCAATGATGACGGCACGTGTTTCCTTGCAGGTAACCATGGTTAACAGAGGAAGAACAATGATTTCAAGCACCACCCTCCTTTTAAAGCTTCCAGTCTGTTATTCTAACTCAATCAGCATGACAGAGTGATCTCCAGCCTTGTCCTCGTCAACACTCTCACCTGTGTTAACGAGAGAATCACTGACATGATGTCAGCTGGTCCCCTGTAGCTCAGTTGGTAGAGCATGGCGCTTGCAACGCCAGGGTTGTGGGTTCGTTTCCCACGGGGGGCTAGTATGAAAATGTATGCACTCACTAACTGTAAGTCGCTCTACTAAAATGTTAAAATGTGGCAGGGCTGAAATGCAGTGGAAATGTTTTTTTGTGATTAAGTTTATTTTCATGGCAAAGAGGGACTTTGCAATTAATTGCAATTAATCTGATCACTCTTCATAACATTCTGTAGTATATGCAAATTGCCATCATAAAAACTGAGGGAGCAGACTTTGTGAAAATTAATATTTGTGTCATTCTCAAAACTTTTGACCACGACTGTAGCCTACGGTGCATTGAGCTACAGCTGCTTCAGACGTCATGTGGCTTTGACATTGTTTTCAGTTGCATACAGTAAATGTAGCCTACAGTTCTGAGAACGGACAAAGTGATTGTTTTATTTGCAAGCTAGTTCTCTCTCTCATGGGCTATAGGTTATGGGGTGCATTTTACATGAAAAGGCATTTTACTATCATACCGCATTTAGCCCTCCGGTCAGCCCTGACAACAGTATGCTATTTTCCCACTTCAGCGATTAGCCTACTGGCGCGCACCAACGGAGGTTCCACAAGCCCTGACACAAAATGCAAAACACTCACCAGAAAACATTGAAACAGAATCAGTTATATGATGGCAAACATCAGACTTCCCTTTCACTGTTGCTGTTAGC